CGCTCTCGCTCTCGCTCTCGCTCTCGCTCTCGCTCTCGCTCTCGCTCTCGCTCTCTCTCGCTCTCTCTCTCTCTCTCTCTCTGTCTCTCTCTCTCTCTCTATATATATATATATATAGATATATTTGCAGCAGGGACAGAGTGGTGCAAGGTGTCCATAGGTTGTATTCACCTCCTCGCAGCTGTGTTGCAGAAGGCTGAGGGGTTGCCAATCGAGAAATTGTCTGTCCTGACTCCCGGCCGTCTTGGCCTCCGAAGTGCCCGGTGCCTCTAAGCCTTGACCCTGGACGGGCCATGGCCCTGCCTCGTCCACCACGGGGGCCCCCTTTTGGGGCCGATGCTGGCGCCGGGCCGTAACAGTCGCAGGCAAGCCTGGTTCCCACCTCGGCTTAGTCCCACCTTGGGACCTTACAGTAGGGTCCTTGGATTTTTCTTGCTTTCGTACGTCTGCGACCGGCAAGCCCAGGACCAGGACTCAAGCTCGGCTTAGGCTCTCTTGCTGTCGATTCTGTGCGTGACATCTCAAAGTCTCAAAGCTCCCGAATTCTCAGAGCATTCTGGAGTGTGCGGCCACGGACCTGGGTCTAGGATGACTGCAGAGGGCTGAGCTTGAAAATCTCTGCACAGCAGTCCGGAGATGCTGCCACGGCTCTTACACTTCTCATGAGCACTGCGCTTGAGCAAAAAACCTTAACCCCTGTTCAAGATCTGTTGGGCGAGCCGCAGCATGGAATGACTTTGCTTGCCGGGCTCGTCCCGATGTAGGTTGAGGGTCTTCACGACATAAGCAAGCATGGGTAGGTGTAAAGCACAGCATTAAAATACTCATGCGTTACAGAAGCAATGGAGGAATCCGAGCAATGATCCCCTCTCCTGCATGCCCAGCCGCACAGTCTTCCCGTCCTTGTTTATGGTGGTGAATTCCTTCTGCATGGCGTCACTGGCCCGGGCTCCACCAAAGCCCTGGGACAAACATTCGGGATGACATCACCACCGGATCATCCTGCGCAAAGCTTAGCTGCGCCTTGGGCCAAAAGATCATGAAACGCTCGGTCTGGCGTGCAAAAAACATTTCAATGAAGGAAGGAAGTGCGGGTCCGAGTTTCCAGTTTCTGCAACTCCAAGGCTCGATGAAGTCCCCGGACATGGGCTCCACAATACGGTACAAGCAGTCGAAGAACAAGACTGTGGACTCTTGCAGACTGTTGCACCATGTCAGGTATTCTCCATGCTTATTTCCATTGTATGTCTTGAGCTTCATCCAGCATTGAAGGAGCCCATTCAAGTCTACACCCCACATGTTACACACAACCCCAAACCCCTTAATGCCCAACTCCTGAAGTGCAAACGCCCTCTTACACGCCGTTTGCGAGGTCCATGTAATACTCCACCCCACTGCATATTGCTAGCAGCGTCTTGCGTCCCATCTAAAGCAGAAACGACAACAGCCCTGCGTTTATGTTGTGTGAACAAGTATACAACCGTGAGATATAGTTATATATACATATGTAAACACACGTACACACACACACACGCACATACACATCTACTCACACATGTCTATATCGGTATATATATATATATATACAAACCATATGTACAGACGTACAGACATACTTACGTACATGCAAACAAAGCGAGATAGAGAGTGTGAGAGTAGACTTTTCAAAATGCTGTATGATTTCTGGCAGTAGAATTGCTTTGCAGAAAGGGCTAGCGCGCCGGGTGTGCCTTAAACTCCAAGCCCTGGAAGCGATGTGGAGAGGCCCCAGAACCTGATTGACCGTCGTCCCTACAGAAAACAGCTTTTGGTGCTTATGGTAAAGTTGAAACACGTATGAAGATTACCTTTCAAAACATGGCATTTTGCCTAGTGATCTGCTTTTTCGCTGCCTTTTCCGCTCCTGCGAGTGGCTAGGTGGACTGTGCACCAGGCCGGGCATGTGCGGAGCAAGTCCAGCCTCAACGCCCAAGTCTCTGGTTCGTCGGGTTCGGGTGCAGGGACAGGCTCCACATGCCCTGAAGACTTAACCTTCTGTCAGCTGATCATGGCTCATGACCCTCTAGCCTTTAGCATCAGCCTGTCGAACCTGAGCCCAAACTCAAACTTCGACGTAGGAGCCTTCTTTTGCGAAAGCTCCGCCGAGTCAAGCGGATCTCAGGTGGCTGCGGAGCTCCATCAAGGCCTGGCGCACTGCATACGTTGGTTGGGATCTGGCCATCACGGTGTGGCGGTGTGGCATGGAAATATGAAACCTTGAAATCCGAAGCCCAAGGCCCAAGACAGCTTCAAGGGTACCGGGCAGCTCTGGTGACGGCACGCAGACTTAGGCATTTATGGGAGGAACTCCTCAGCTGGAATTGCACCGATCTGGAATTGGTGCTGGTCCTCTGAGCGAGGATGTTTGTCGTCTCGTGCCTGTGCCAAAGCAACCCCTTGAGGAGGAAAGCCGCCTATGCTACACCTTATTCCGTTCCAGTCCTTCCCAACAGCGTTCTGGCCCGTTGCCAAACCGCCTGCGGCTGCTCGGTTGGGGAAGGGTCTAGCTTTTCTCAAAACTTCGTGATGGCGCTCAGAGTTTCTAAGGCCGAAAGCCTGAGAACATTGAGAAGAAACAGAAACACTGGCTGTAATGCAGTCCCCTTTAAATGACCTATACGGGGGCTTCTCCTGGGGCTTTGGGTTGTCTTCTCCTCAAGGCTGCTGAGTGTACAGAGTGTGTGAAGCACGACCAGCTTCGGGCACGATCTTTGGACTGTGCGACTTTAAGGCCTGGCTTCAGGAGGGCCTGGAAGCGGGGAATTGGGGCCAAGTAGGTTTCAGGGATCGCTTTAACACTATTTGATGTTGAAATGTCAGAGTCTCGAGTCAAACACAGACTAATAAGGAGCGTGGAGAGTAGCAACAGCACGCTTCGGAAGGGTAGCCGACAGTGTGCGGTACAGCTTTTCGGAAAGCCCCTGTCAAAAAACTCTCCTGCCTGGTGCTTGCATGCCCGCCCAGGGATCGGTGTCCGCAAAGACCAGTGTCTTGTCGCCTGTAGCCTGAAGTGCCTCAGTAAAGGTCTTGAGTGAAGGATTCAGGCTCGCGTGCTTTCAGATTTACGGGTGAGGGCTTTCAGGGAATCCTGGTTCGGATTCGGCACTCATACTCGGACAATCCAGGCGAGGCATGTGGATCGTGGGTCTGCTGAGGCGAAACATACTTCCTAGCAAGCGATTTCATAACGCATACTACCATGCAAACAACCCAATCACGGGGGAGTCTCAGGCTTGCTCGCACCGAAGTCCATCACTCTCCAAAGCGTCCTAGTTATGGAGCTCAATGCCTACTCGGAAACAGGATCGCAATCACGCGGGTCATAAACATCATAGAGTCAGACATCTTGGAGGGACTCTGAGTAGCATCGCCTTCCTTTAGAATCTTCGTTGTGAAACAAGTAACCTTTCCATCAAGCTTCAAGACTAGGACTGTAATATTGGAGTCCATGACAGTAGCTTATGACTTTACCATAGTAACAAACGCGCTGCTGGTTCGGTTTAGGGTTTCCCGGTGTTAGCGGGTGTCAAAATTGGGTACATAGCTTTTCTACGAGCTGCAAAGACTTGGAGCCTGCTATGACGAGAACTTTGTTGGCTTTTCCAACTTGCCACGTCAGGGATGTTCTAGATTCAGGTGCCAATTTAATTTTTCCTACTGGCCATGGTCTCAATTGTTCAAACCGCGGACAAGGCTTCGCAGCTTCAAACCAGAGAGTCTTCAAGTGTAACAGCACGGGAACTTGATGTGGGGGCCCCTAGGCCTTGGGATGCAAAAGGAAAGAGAGCGATGAAGAACGAGTTTTGCACATAAATGTATACAATGGTGAATGACGAAGGCATACAAATTGGACCCCGATTCTCTTCAAAGCAATGAGTTTGATGTTTGCAAGGTGTAGGTGCTGTGGCATCGGATAGCTTCGAGACGCACGATTCCCGCAGAGGGTTCATCGGGGACGTTGAAAAAGTCACACGGCACCACAGCGAGAGTGCTTCGACATGCACGATCCCTGTGCAGGGTTCATCGCGCCGAGCCCCACCACACCCACCCAAGGCTGAGAAATAATATAGAATAAGAATGATTCACGGCGTAGGTGCTACTTCGTGCGGTGCAGCGCTGTAAATGCTGCGATGGTAGGTGCTGTGGTGTGCTTGGTGCGGTCGCTGTAGTAGGTGCTGTGAAGTGAGCAAGGAAAGTGTTTTTGTCCAAAGAACCCTTCGCGGTGAAAAGACGCGTAGACCCTTCCATCTGAAACGCATCTATGGGCATGCTGAGGAGTACATGAGTAGTACATGTATTGTGCTTGTATGTATGTGCGTATGCATACAAATTACATACGTATGCACATATGTACATGCATACACGCATACCCACCTACCTTCATACCTGCCTACCGAAACGGAAAGCCCCGTGCAGCGTGGACCCTGAAACCAAGGCCCGACAGCTGCGCCGCCCTGACACCTGAAACGCTAGGGCAAACAACACCAAGCCAAACCTCCTAGCTGGAGAGCGCCGCAAGTCGCAAAATCCCTAACTCGCAAGCTGCCAGGGCACTTGAACAAAAGCGGGGCACTGAGCTGCCTGCGCTGGAGCCAAAGGGAAAGCTCGCACCGCCTGCCCTGAATCAGATCCAGCCTGAACCCTCGAGCAGGCTTGTGTTGATTTGGGGTTTAGCAGTGTCAACCTCCCAATATATATCCACTGACATCTCACCTGGAGCTGAACTCTTTGGTGAAGCATGCAAACGCCATAGCCCCGAGACCCTAAGCCGGAATACAATGCACGAACCACAGTGTCAAAGACGCGCCCAGCACGAAAAGCTAATTGCCGAAATGGCATGAAATCCACTCGCCTCAACAATCCAAAACCCTCTGAAGGCATGCTTGTGTAAGTCGCTCAACCGAGCCTTTGCTTTGAGACCCTCCGCCAGCAACTCGAGTCGCCTTCGACAATTTTCTATTGCTTGATAAATAAACCCTAGAGTTGTAGGGAATATCGTTTTCGGGAATTGCATCTAAGCCTCTTTGGCTCTATGGGTCTCATAGGAGCCTTGCAGGGCTTTGGCCTTCCGTGCTGTGGCGGCCTGGAGGCTTGGAATGGCTTGGAATGGCTTGGATGCTTCAAGGCCAATAGCGCAATCAACTCATCGAGAGTGTACTCTGCCAGGTCCACAGGCCGAAACCCCCAATAATAGGTTCACGAACATGGCATGTGGGCAGCGAAAAGCTAGAACGATTTTGTGCACCTCTCGCGGAAGTCGCTGCGCTGCGCATTGGGGCCGGCACCCCCGGCCAGAATCATCGCCTCCGTTTGTTAGGGTCCTTTTTTCGACCCTCACAGCTTGGCGCACCGTTGAAGGTGTGTGTGGCAAAGTAGCTCTGACAATGCGGTAGCCTGAGAGGTATCGGTTCACAGGTTCCTGACGGAGGCGGTAATGCCCAGCGTAACGCTCTCCCGAATGGGAAAACAGGCAAGCCGATACCCGAGGGAGAATGACTCTTGATGGCTGTTCTAGGTTTAGGTTTACGCTCTCACCCTGGTTGGACCCGAATCCAAACATCGACCTTGGAGTTGGAGGATTGCAAGGGCTCTGGGCAGAATCAATTCCAACTCTCCAGTCTTGAGCTCCCTCAATTGGCACAATGTTGCTTTAGGAGGCTACGAGTATCATTTCGGAGGGCATCTGCTTGTTGAAAGGGGCCTACGTCGGAGTGCATCCCTCGTATCCTCCAAGCCCCAAACATCGCAAGCCCCAGCCAATGGATACGTCGGATATACCGAAATCAAGGAATGCCTATGCCAAGACGTCATCGGAACCTGGTAGATTCTCAGCAATCTTGAAACCTTCGCATGGCAATGCATGCGACCTGACAACATACGGTAGACTAACACGAAGGAGCTGGGATAAGAAATATGGCCGGCGTTGTCATCCTGCAGCCTCATCAACCGTCGCGGCAGCTGCGATGCTTCGAACCAAAGCGTCTTCCTCGCCAATGAAGGGAGCCGCCTGAGCGGATTTTGCGAGCCTCTAGGGCTTTGGGATATTCGGGTTTAGCAATCCTGCCCTAAGGTTTCAAGGTCGCGGAGAAAAAGACATGCACACACGAAGTCACCAGGTTCCACGGTATTTCTGTCTCAGTCTACACCGGGTTCTATTTCGTAAGGACTTGCCAATGCTCAGAGAAGCAATTGTCAATGGCTTTGAAGGTTCTTTCAGGCCTGTTTCTGCCTGAAGCCAAAAAACGACAGTTCCTACGCTTCTTCGACTTGCAATAAGTTTTAGAGAAACAGTAGCAAAGATATTTAATGGGGTAGCAGACGACTGCGGCCGTACTACAGCATATACGCAGTATGACTAAGCCCAGTCGGAACATTAATCTCATTACCAGCCGGAAGTGCATGCCGAAGTTGAGATGCGAGAATTGAATCATGAAGAGAATCTGTGTACCAGGGTGGGCTACCTGCAAGAGCACAGCCAAAAGCTCCTCCTAAGGACCCGGGCCTGGCGGCCTGGCTCAGAACCCCTCATTGCCTAAACTTCATCTCTGAGCCTGAGGTTCGCAGAGAGAAAGAAGGAAGTTCCCGATTCTAAGAGCATCCCTCGAGCCCCCTTTCCACCTTTCTCGGAATCCTTCTACACTTCATAGAGCAGGCCTGCCAGTAGTGCTCCAGGCTTGGGAAACCTGGCTCTCTGCAGGCGCAGCGGTCTCATAACACTTACGAGCGTGCGTGTGTACATACATAACAATAGTAGAAGTAATAGCAATAAACCTAAATGTAATCAAGAAGCATTTATACACATTTGTGTATGCATGTACGTATGTATGTATATATACAGATTGTATATACATATATATAATGTGAATATAAATATAGACAAATAAATAAGTAAATACATATATATATATACA